TTTTAAATATATAAATTTGAAAATAGAATACTATAACCTGACTAAAATACTATTGCTTGTGTAAAATAAAATGTAATTTACAAATTTTAATTTAAATTTATATATGTTTAAATTTGAATTAAAAGAATTGCTTACATAATCGAATTATAATTAAAAAGTAACCAAAATAAACATTTCACGAAGATTGATTTATTATTCTCATATAAGTAGCAAATTTGTTGATGTTTTAGTAAGCAATAAAAAAATTGATTGGCTATCTAAGTGACTTCATATTAAAATTAAATTAAAATAAATATTTTGCCTGTGTTGCTATCAGTACATGTGCAAGTACTTCTGAATTAAACATTTCGATTCTACATTTGAATCAACCATTCATGTAATCCAAACTACTATTCACAACAATAACTACTAATTTTTTCAAGAAATATTCAAAAATTTAGCTTTCAAATGGAATGGAAAACCCACATTTATTGCACATTTTCATCTATCGTCTTTGTTATTATCGATAAAATGCAGGCATATTATTTTATTAATTTGGAATACAGAAATCAAAAAAATGTATATAAAATTTGAAATATGGAATACTACAACCTGGACTAAAATACTATTGCTGGTGTAAATAAAATGTGATAAATATGAATAGCTTTCATAATCGAATTACAATTAATTCGGTTCTAGATTTTCATGACCAACCATGTGTAATTCATGAACCATACAACAAAAATAACTAAAAATTTTCTAGAAATATTTAGAAATTTAGTTTTTAATGGGAAACCCCCAATTTATTGCACATTTTCATCTATCGTCATTGTTTTTAATTTCTTTAAAGCGCATGCATATTATTTAATTATTTTAGATTACAGAAATACAAAAATGAATATTAAAATTTAAAATGAAATTTTAAAATTAAAAAATGAAAATTAAAGTTTGAAATATAGAATACTACAACCTGAACTAGAATACTATTGCTGTGTAAAATAAAATGCAATTTACCAATATAATTTAATTTATATATGTTTAAATTTGAATTATAAGAATTTATTCCATAATCGAATGGGTGAAATGATCGAATTAATATTCTACGTAGATTATAGGCTGCTTTTGATATATTCATTTTTATGTAAGTAGCAAATTTGTTGATGTTTTATTAAACAACAAAAAACATGTTGGCTATCTAATTAGCTTTATTTTAAATATAATTAAAATAATATTTTACCTGAATTGTTTGCAATACATGTGCAAGTACTTCTGAGTCTCGATCTGTAAAGCCCCATCCAGCAACTTCTGCATAAGTCCCCACATAGTCCTTGAAAATCAAGTCTCCACTAATTGTACAAATTGGATACACCCAACCTTTAGAAAAATATTTTTCATATTTAGTTACGTAACTTAGAAAGCGCATTTTAAAATGTTTCTGTGCAAATATGATAAATGTATGTAAAATTTCTCAAAAAATGGTAGAGAAATTTATAAAAAAACATTATTTATAAATATAATTAATTTTATACTTGAATATTTTAGCTACGTTATTTTTATTTTTTCAAAGTTACTCTATTATATACTATCTAAAATATGCACATTAGCATTTTTAAAATATTTTGGACATTCTGCTCTGTATTCCCAAACCAACCAGCTTTTACTACAAGCTTCGTTAATCTGTTCTCAACTTCGAAAGTGCAATCGAAAAGTGTTTTGAATCCTTTTATTACATATTACTCTCTCTATTTGCTTTAAAAATTTTAGTTATTAGTGTAAATTCTCATACAACTGTCGAACTCGAAAAATCAATTAATCATTGTATCCATAAGTAATATATCTGGCTAATAATTATTCAAGGCATTTTAGTAAAAGTTAACTATTAAAATTAATTGTCCTAACAAAATAGAATTTACGCACAATTTTATAGTACATGTGGAAAATATTTACTTTACTAAAATATCACACTCAATCTCACAATTATCATATTGTTCTAGAATAGCGTTTATAACAGTTAATATATTTTCTAATTAAAATCGCTATCAATGAAGTAATTTAATTGTTGTTAATATTTTTGTATAAGTTGCGAAATATTGTTTTTTAGTCCATTTGTTTTTGAAATTCGAATTGAATTTTAGTCTTTGTTAATAACGAAATTTTACAATTTTATTACTATATGTTATTTAATACATATTCTTTTAGCAACATATTTTGATTTGTAAATTGATCCATAATTAATCAGCTATTTTAATATATAACTACTATTTATAACAATTTATTATTATTAAATTATATTTACTATATGCTGATAATTAACTATGTGGTATTTTGGTAATCGTTAATAAATGGTGTTTTTTGGCATAGTTTATTTTGCAAACTAGTTATTATTATATATATATATATATATATATATATATATATATATATATATATATATTGTAGTGCCCCTGTTCTCAACCAAAACTCTACTATGATTCTGTTTTTGACAACATTTATACAGCAAAATATTGGTAAATAATCATAATAATGATTTTAAACTTTTTTTCTCAAATGATTAAAATGAGTTGAAATTTGTTTACCGATGTTTTCTCAGTGCAATAAAAACACATTTTATTTTTTTTTAATTTATGATATATTGCTAGTAATAGTCCGAAGATTACAAATCCGATAACTGATTTTTCCTTGATAGTCCTTACTATTAAAGTTTACCTCACCTAATATTATTGCCGCTTAATAAAGTTGTAATATTATTTTAATAAATATAAAGTTATATTTACTAAAATTTTAAAGCTTATAAAGTTTTAAGCATTTTATTTGTTTTGTAATTTTGATATAAGTAGTAATTATATAATTTTTTGCTGATTTGGAGTCAGAGTTAGTTAAATGAAAGTCCATTATATTTTTAATCCGCTTGATGGAATGTAGTATTTATTTAATTGCAATTTAGTAATCTATTTATTGTTATAAAATTTTTGGTGAACGATTTTGGTTGAAGTCCTTACGTTCAGGACTTAAACAATTTAAATATGATTAGTAATTTGGAACTTTTTCCTTACTACATATAATTTGTCTATTGACATAGTTTATATTATATTAGCATTTGTTAAAAAAAAATTCATGATACATGGTTACTAGTCCCTGGTTACACTACCGCGGTTTGATGTTTCTTAACCCTCAAATCTTGGAACTATATTTTCTATAAATGCATGTAAAAACAAAATAATAATTACCATTTTTATTATATTTTCTATCCAATTTTATCAGAGCTATATCATGTTTAAATAGTTCGTCTTTGTATTCTGGATGTGGAATTATTTTCACAGGATCGAAATCTTGGACAGGTTCTGCGCAAACATCGTCCTCGCAATCTATACCCGATTGATCATTATGTTCGCCGAGTCTGACTCGCGCTCTAAAATAAATCAGAAACATTATTATATTTTTAATAAAATATTTAATTTTACATACATTTTGATCCAAGTTCATTTTACATTATTGTATTATGCAGAATTGAAATACTGTGTTCTGATTAACCACTAGATATTTTGGATTGTGGCAATCCAAATGATTGTTGCAAACAGGTCAAACTTAATTACTCAGAGCAGGCTCTGAGGACGTTTCCTCCAGATAATCAATTTTGGCAACTAAATTGTTGCAATTAAAATCAAAATAAAACAAATTTTTCAACAATAGTAAATAAATTCAAATAATTGTTATCGTCCCCCCGCAAACTATACCCGATTGACCATTATGTTCGCTGAGTCGGATAAGCGCTCTAAAAATAAATCAGAAATAATAAATATTTTTACTTTAAGATTTAATTTTTAATAAATTTTTATCTAAGTTCATTTTACATTTTTGTATTATGCATAATTGAAATACTCTTCGTTGTGATAGCCACTCGATATTTTGGATTGTTGGCAATCCAAACATATCAAACGTAATTACTTAGAGCAAGTTCTGAGGACGTTTCCTCCAGATAATTAATTTTAGGCAATCACAATCGAAATAAAACAAATTTTTTAACAATAGTAAATAAATTCAAATATTTTTGATCATCCCCGCAATCTATACCCGATTGATCACTACATTCGCCGAGTCTGATTTACGCTCTAAAAATAAATCAGAAATAATAAAATATTTTTACTTTAAGATTTAATTTTTCATAAATTTTGATCTAAGTTCATTTTACATTTTTGTATTATGCAGAACTGAAATACTCGGCGTTCTGATAACCACCTAGATATTTTGATTGTGGCAATCCAAATGATTGCTGCAAACAAGTCAACTTATTACTCAGAGCAGACTCTGAGGACGTTTCCTCTAGATAATTAATTTTAGCAACTAAATTATAGCAGTCAAAATGAAATAAAACAAATTTTTCAACAATAGAAATAAATTCAAATATTTTTGATCGTCCCCCGCAATCTATACCCGATTGATCACTACATTCGCCGAGTCTGATTCGCGCTCTAAAAATAAATAAGAATAATAAAATATTTTTACTTTAAGATTTAATTTTTCATAAATTTTGATCTAAGTTCATTTTACATTTTTGTATTATGCAGAATACTAAGACTTAGATATTTTGGATTGTTGGCAATCCAAATGATTGATGCAAACAGGTCAAACGTAATTACTCAGAGCAGTTCTGAGGACATTTCCTCCAGATAAATAGTTTTGGCAACTAAATTGTAGCAATCAAAATCAAAATAAAACAAATTTTTTAACAATAGTAAATATATTCAAATAGTCTTTATCGTCCCTGCAATCTATACCGATTGGTCATTGTGTTCGCCGAGTTTCATTCGCGTTCTAAAATATATCAGTAACAAAATTATTATATTTTTTATTAAAATATTTAATTTTACATACAGTTTTGATTAAGTTCATTTTACATTTTTGTATTAGGCAGAACTGAAATACTCGCGGTTCTGATAACCACTTAGATATTTTGGATTGTTGTTAATCCAAATGATTGCTGCAAACAGCAGGTTTCTGAGGACGTTCCCTCCAGATAATTA